AGCTGAAGGCCTAAGAGAAGAAAGACAGAGGTCCCAAAGGCAGAGGGAGTTCTGCCAGCGATGCCTTTGGACTGAAGCTGTGGCATCAGCCCTGCCCTGGGTGTCCCGCCTGCCAGCCTGCCCTGCAGGCTTCAGACTCACCAGTTCCATGGTTCCGTGAGCTAATTCCTTACAATCAGTCTCTCTGAGTAGTTCGTGGGAAAATAGAATTAAAAGATAATATGAATTCTGTGAACTTTTTGAAGACCCCTTGTGTATGTGTATACACACACACGGGCACACACACATGCACGCACACACACGTGCACGCACACACACGTGCACGCACACACACATGCACGCACATACACATTCATGCACACACACGCATGCATACACGCGCGCGCGCACACATGTACGCATACACACGCGCACACACACACACATGCCACCGCACCCCACCCCCATTGATTCTGTTTCACTGAAGAACTCTAACTAAAAACCAGGAGATTATCCTGGATCCGAGATTGCCTGGGGGCCCACTGTCCTCACGGGTTCCTAATAAAAGGGAGGCAGGAGTGTCAGAGGCAGAGAGAGGCTGGAAGAGGCTGCACTGCTGGCTTTGCAGATGGAGGAAGGAGCCACGAACCTTCCTTCCTCCTCTTAGGAAATCCTGGGAAGATCAGCGATAACCAGGCTCCACTCAGCCTTTGGAGCTGCCTGAGAGCGATGCTTCATTCTTCTCCCTACTAGACCCTGAGGTGGGAACCCGGCTCCCTAGCCCTATAACAAAGCAGCATGTACCAGGTTGCCAGCTCCCTGTCCTGCCGTCTCTGGCGTCTCAGCCTCCAGCAGCCAAAAGAAAGTATCTGCTTTGTCAGCCCAGGAGTCCTGGGATAGGGACCAAGTCATCCTTGGTCACCCCAGAACCCCATTCCTAGGACAGGCCATGAAGGAAGGAGGAGCCAGGCCTGATGTGGGCAAAGCCAGCCGGGGAGAAGGAACACTTACAAGCTTCCCCAGATGTGTCCAGCCCAAGGCCAGGAGCTCCAACAGCCACCATTCTGGCCCCTGGTCTTAAGTGTCCCCATATGCACCAAAGTCTGTGGCTCCCACACACTGGGGGGCTTAGGCAACAGAAATGTATTTGCTCTCAGTTTTAGAGGCTAGAAGTCAAGTTCAAGGTGTGGGCAGGGCTGGCTCCTTTGGAGGGCTGTGGGGAAGAATATTCCAGGCCTCTCCCCAGCTTCTGGTGTTCTTTGGCTTGTAGAAGCATCGCCCCAATGTCTGCCTCTGTCTTCACATGACATTCTCCCCGTGTCGTGTCTGTGTCCAGATTTCCTCTTTTTACACATACACTAGTCATACTGGATCAGGACCCAGCCCACTCCAGAATAACCTCATCTTAACTCGTGACATCTGCCATGACCCTATTTCCAAATAAGGGCACCTTCTGAGGTCCTGAGGGTCCAGGCTGCAACATGTGAATTCTTAGGGGACACTATTTGACCTGTGACACTCCTCCCTCCAGTCTCTCCAAACTGCATGTCCTTTTGCCTGCAAAATACGTTCACATTCCCGCCATCCAACATCCCCAAAAGTTTCAGCTCATTCTCGCAGCATCTTTAAGTCCGTAATCTCATCTCCATAGAGTATCATTTCAATCAGGTATGGGCAAGATTCAAGTATGATCCATCCTGGGGTGAAATTTCCCTCCAGCTGTGAACCTGTGAAACCAGACAAATTCCCCCCCATACTGTGGCGGGGCAGCCACAGGATGGACGTTCTCATTTTAAAAGGGAGAAATTGAAAGGAAGAAGGGGATCACGGGCCCCAAGCAGGTCTGAAATCTGGCAGGGAAAATT